CTGGGGCGTCACCCTTTCCAAGCAGAAAGTGGCCCCTAGCAGCTAAAACCCAGGATCCTAAACCCTAGGTAAAGGCTAAAGACCACCCATTACGGCCACTAACTGCCCCCCCCCCAAGGTTCCAGCAGAGGCTTTCACACGCTCGTCAGCTGTGCTTATGACCTGACCCTTTCGGGCTGCTGTCCCAAGGGAGAAGAGGAACCGATCTGATCCGCAGTGAGCTTTGCTACCCACTACGAATTTTGACCGTTAGCCGGAAACGCACGACGCTTTAGGCAAGCCGCAGGACCAGATGTCCTTTGGGAGCCCTCAACAACGCACGCTTAACCGACCCCCTCGCCGCAAGCAGACAGATCGTACGAGCAGCACACCCTTGCGCTCACTGTCCGCTAAGCAGCTAAGGGGTTCACCCAACTCGCTTGACCAGCAAAGCAACGCAGGACATCCCTTCAGCCTGCCGCAAAAAGCGGGACTTCGACCGGCAGGTTTGACTTGCCCTGGGGCGCTCAAGGAAGGGAGTCATCCACGAAGCTTTAGCTGGCGCCGTGGCCGGTCGACCACTAGGCACGCCCAGAGTACGTACCAGCAGCTAACAAGGAGCCGAAGCTCAGTTCAGAGTGCTGCTGGCCGCCCCCTGCGAACGCCGGCTAGACGGTAGCACACCACAGTGTTCATTCACTGTTCCGCTGCACTAGGGATCCTAAGCTGCTGTCTACATGCAGCCTCGCCACCGGTGAGCTGGACTCTCACAAGCCCGGTGCCGCCTGTTGGAACCATGCCTGTTGAGAGACCCCAACCCCCTCCGGCTAGTCCCGTCGGACAACGGACAACCCTCGTGCCTTGTTTCTTGCGAGTCGAGCACACCAAAGTCCAAGGCCAAAGTCCAAGACTAATGACAGTGAAGCACCGAATCGGAGGTGCTGCGCAAGTGGGCAGAGATCCGTATGATCCCCCCCACACACATTGCTGTGGCAAGCCACAACATGCCAATGGCCTGCGCCGGCAACTACTGGTGCCGCTGAAGGCCGGGGGTGGCACAGTGAGCGGTGACATATCGCTACATAACCCGGCATCCAATTGCCGGCGGAATGCGTAATCCGTGTCATGGACAGCCTCCTCACTGAGGGTATATTGGAGGCGTCATCGGTTCCTCCAAAACTTCCAAAGGTCACGAAGAGTATGCCGTGGCCGGTGCTTGATCGGCACATGGAGATCCGGCACAAGCAGCGGGGTGATGAAGATGTCAGGAAAGCCGGGCCCGACCCCCCCTTCGTTTAAAAAGGCTTGCCCCTCTTCGAAGTGCCGAGGGTGTAATGGTCTGGAAGATCCCGGAAGACCTCGCCGTCCTGGGCAAGGCCTTTTAAGAGAGCGTGCATGACTTTAGCCCTGGCATCCTTCAGCAGGGTGATAAGCCCAGCTCTGGCTCATGCCCAGCTGCGCAACGCAGTGGCATAACAAGTAGACCATACCAGACGAGAAACCAGCGTGCCTGCCGCCCGGAAGGCCAGAGCTTCTGAGAAGCTTCAGCCGAAGTCAAAAACTCCCCGTCCATGCTTGCGACGAGTCTAGCGAAACCGTGTCTGCAAAGAGCTCAAACTCGAATTTTGAACCAAAATCAGTGGCAGGCCGTGGGTTGCACTCATAAGACACACAAACTTTGAACTTTCAATGTTGATTTACATTTGACAAAGCCACGGCAACAAAACGTTCTTTTAGCACTGGAGCGCCACTTCGGAACCAAGGCGACGACAACAAAGCGTGTATCTTAGAATTGGGAATCCACTTCGAAACCAAAGCAACGGCAACAAAACGTACATCCTAGCATTGGGGCCCCACTTCGAAACCAAAGCAACGGCAACAAATCGCATATCTCAGCATCGGCACCACTTCGAGACTAAAGCATCGGCAAACAAGTCGCACACATCTCAGCATTGGAGTACGACTTCGAGAACAAAGCGGCGGCAACAAACCGTACATCTCAGCACTGGGGCACCACTTCGAGACGGAAGCAATGAAAACAAATTATACTTATTAGCAGTGGGGCAAATCTTCCAGACCGAAGTAACGGCAACAAGTCATACATCTCGCGGCTGGGGCACCACCTCAAAACCAAAGCAACGACAACAAATCGTACATCTTAGCACCGGGACACGATTTCGTCAACAAGTCGTCCTGTCTAGCACTTCGAGACCAAAGCAACGAAAGCAAATCGTACATCTTCGCATTGGTGCACCACTTCGAAACCAAAGCAATGGTAGCGAATCGTACATCTTCACACGCACCGGGGCACCACTTCAAGACCAAAGCAACGGCAACAAATCGTAATAGATCAAACATCGGCAACGAATTTCACACCTTCGCACTGCGGCAGCCCTTGAGACCAAAGCAACGGCATCAAAACGTACATCTTAGTCGAAACCCAAAGCAACAACAAATCGTACAGCTTAGTATTGGCACCACTTCACTTCGAGACCAAAGCAACGGCGTCAAATCGTTCATCTTGGTATTGGAGGACCATTTCGAGGCCAAAGCAACGGCAACAAATCGTACATCTTCGCACTGGACACCATGCCAACAGCAACCAATCGTGTCTCTTAGCACCGGGGCACAACTTTCAAGACCAAGGCAACAAGTCTTGCTGTGAATCGTACATCTAGCAGAAGCCCTGGCTTCGCGCGTAAAGACATGCAAGCCTTAACAAGTGCAGAAGCTCATTTCAGGGTCAAAGACAGAAATGCACGGGTCAGTGCACAAAAGGATATGTGGAAGACTGCGATTCAAGTCCAAGTATTTGAGAAACTGAAGAAGTGAATTCTTGGCGGAACACTTGACAAAAACAACAAATCCAAAAAAATGAAAAGCGAATCTAGAGGCAAAATTCTTCCAATGTTTTGCAGACGGAATCTTTTTGAAGGCTTTGTTCCTGCGACCACGTGACGACAGCCTTCTAGGTGGTACGACGTCACACACTGCCGTTGCTGTTGGGCCGGTCCCCATGCTGCAGCGTACAGTTCATCGGCCTCATTGAACGCTCGACATTGCGCGATCCAGACTCTACAGGGAGCAGAGTCAAGTGACCCGTGGGCCAGCCTGCACCTATTCGGGAACTACCTTGAAGGACGCTTCGAGCGACTTCCGCTGGATGGCCACCTAATGGTTAGGCGACCTTGGGAGTTGGTTGAGATGTTGAAAGAAAGACTGGCCGTTCCAGTTTCATCAGCTGTCTTGTATGGGAGGATGCAATGCTTCCAGTTTGTTGCCTTCAGCTTGTCGTGGCACTGGCCTCATGTGGGAGCTTTGCTGGGTGGCACTGCCTGTCGCCGTGGTCCATGAGCCTGCTTGGCCCTCTGGGCGTCTGTCTTTTTCCGAACTGCATCAGCCGATCACAAGATCTGCGTATTGGTCGCCGGGGCCACACAGCTGACAGGGCGACTTTATGGATCCGTTCTTTTCTGCTATTTGAGTGCTGCTTGGGGTTGACCAAGTGGGATGTGCGCTATGTCGCCAACAGTCTTGTGAGTGGACCTTCCTGTACACTCTCAATGATGAACATATGGAAAATCCGCAGGATTTCCGCCAGATCTTCTGGGACGTTGCCGTGCGATTCTGGGAACGATATGCGCCGCATGTCCGTCTGTGCGGATGTCGGCAACGGTCTGGGGATTACGCTCCGACCTTTGTCAAAGTTGGGATGATTGGCGCCGCCACTTGTTGCGCCCACTAGCCCTGGCCATTCGGCTTTGCGGCGGATGTCACGGGATTGTGGCCCTTGCTTCCTGCCAGGCCGCCGACCAGTGCGCCTCTGTCGCGGTGCCTCCGCGTGGAGGTAGGGGGTCGTGCACGGGCGTGATTTAGGGTTTCAATCAATTCCATCCTGGCCTCCGGCTCCAAGGCAGACCTGGACAGCCGCCTTGCTTATGCCTGCGTGGCTTGCGCCAACGCGAGGTGTGGGGGGGTAAAGGATAGGTCGTGCCACAGCCTGGCCACTGTGGCCTAACTAGCGGCGGCCATTTTGGGGCCCTGTTCCTGAGGCCCCTTCTTCGGCACTCCCTAAGGGTCGAAGCGTGCAGGCCCGTGTGGCCCAAGTCACCAGACAGTGCTAATCTAGCCCTGGCCATTCGGCTTTGCGGCGGCACGCATGTCCTGGATGTTTGGCGCATTCGGAAGAGCGAGGACGCCAGTGCGTCGAAGCATTTCCCAAACCGCCGTGTTGCCGCAGCATTTGGGGGGCTGGGCCCCAGACCTTCGACGAAGGGGGGGCTTAATGAAAAATTCCAATAGCGTTTAGAGAATCCCTTGGAGTGTGCGAATAATCAGCAAACAACAATCAAGCAGAAATCTCAATCAGCTCCAGAATGCAATCACTCGGTCTCAGACTTTTGTCTAGATTCAATGAGCCTTGAGCCAATGCCAGTTGGTAGGCATCGTGCTGTCCGTAGCCAATACGAGCTGGAGAATGACCATGCAATCTAACACGGTCCCTTGACAACAATCACAACTGTACATTCTCCGCTCAATTATCGGTTCTACAATTATACTGGAATAGCAATGAAGCAAGAATCGAAATCATTGTTGAGCAATTCGAAGCAAACGAGCAATCAATCTACCGGTCGAAACTCAATCACAGAACTGGGTTAAAATCTTAGTGGCAATCTCACTCCTTTTGCGCTCAGAGCTGAACAATCTCATGCAGTCACCCAATCTCCAACCATGAGCAACCGTCATCCAGGAAACAATGTCTCCGTCGGTACATTGCAATCATAGAAGCAAATGGAATCAGCAATCAATCGTCAGTGTCTGCAGGAATTGTCTTGTGCTCAATCCGAGCAACTGGGTATCAATATCCAATGCAGTGGAGCAGAAAAGAATCAAAATCAAAATCAATGCTGAGAGGCAGCAACGCCTGTACTTCAATGCCGGAGGCGCAATCCATCCATAGCCCAAAGGGGATCAATCGCCAATCTTCATGCCAATCCTGATGGCAATCTTCAAGGCAATCTTCATTGACCTTTGCGTTTCTTCGCAATGGCCGCTGCGGTGGACAACATAATGTTGTACTCCTCCTTGGTCAATGCCGATGGCAATGGATCTGTGCTTGACCCAATGCTCGCATTCGCATTGGAGGCAATCTCATCCGCAGCAATCTCATCGCAATTCTCAGCAAGAAGGTACAATTCTGGCGTTCCTTCAATTTCCAGGTGCGTCAATGGCAAGGTGCAATGCCGGTGCACCGTCTCCGTTGGAAACCAATTCGCATAGCTGGAATTGTGAACCAAAGACGCCAATCCCTCAACATTCAAGGTCGGCAACTCCAAGACAATGCTGTGCTGGCGTACCAATCCAGGCAGAATGTACGAATACGTATTCGCAATCGCATCATGTGTGCTGTCAATGGTGAGGCACCAGCTGCTCGACAAAAACGAACAATTGTGGTACAATGCAAAGCCTCCCACACCATCGGGGGCCTTCAATCGCGTGTCAGTCATTCGCTTCAATGGTCGAAAGACAATGATCTTCACCAATTCCCGATTTTGGGCATCAGTGAATCTGTTTTGTCTATACCAATGACAGAGCTTTCTCAATGCTGCACCCACGCTCAATTGGGCATTGAGTTGACCCAATGGCGTGGGTATCAGCGTAGTCAATCCGCTGTTCAATGACTCAATGATGCTTGCTGGGAGAGCAATGCAGGCGAACCAATCTGTCAATCCGTCCACAGGGGCGTACTGTCTGCAATTGTACGAGGTCACCGCAATCGAGCGAGTGAATGTGGACTTCAATGCATAATAACACTCGACAGACTTCTCCACAATGAGGAATGCCAGATTTGGCGAGAAGATGGGAATGCCATCTTCAATGTCCTGCGCATTCATGGTCCCAATGCAGCGATTACAGACATACAATAGGTTGAGAAAGATGCAATTGGCGTATCCGCAATGGACAGGGAATCCGTCGGGAGTCAATGTCCTGGAATACTTGTTCCCAATCGTCCAACCGAGCTGCACTTCAATTCCGCCAATGCGACCGTTGAATCGCACGTATTGGCGCGAACATGCAGTCAATGCATCGTGCAGAATTTCCGCAATCTCCAGAATGATCGGGCAATCAAGGTGGATGAATCCTTCGTTCAATGTGACTGTGACATAATTGTCCACAATCTGCGTTGCCTCGACAAGTGCAACTTTCCATTGGTGCAATTCCAATAACGAGGCAATGCATGCCAAATGAACGTGGAAAATGGCAATGGCTTCTCGCATCCGAGCCAATACCTTCTCTGAATTCCACCTCACTTGGTGGAACGGCGGATGGGCGTGCTCGCCAATCGAACCCACAATGTGCTGAAACTGATCCAATGCAGACTCCAATGCCTGGGAACCGTTGGAGGCCATGGCAATCAAGGATCAATCGGGTCGATCTGATGCAATCACGAATGCGAATCTGCTTTCTCTCAATCTACGAGCAATCGCAAGCAGGAGCAAGAACAATCGAACAATCACAAAAGCACACACACACACACACACACACACTCCAAGTTACAATCTCAAAACGCGTTCAAACTCTGTTCAAATCATGCTATGTACATTGTTGTCTAGACAACACTACTTGACCAATAATTCGGTCAATGTGTGTGGAACTCAGAACAATGAATGTTTGGCTCCTCACTGCACTTCTTTGTACAATTCAAAATCGATACAAAATCTCCTCAAACAATGAATTCTTGTTTCTTGCAATTCAAACACAATGGTTGGTCGGAGACCTTCCAGGGAAAATCTTCCTGGTCAATGGGTTTCAACAGGAATGATAAAAAAATCTTGCCAATGCACATGCTGAGCTCATGAAGAATTCTCTCTCAATTCTCACCTCTCTTTATTTCAACAGTGCAATACGCACTCTGAGGCTTGTGCAATCGGAACTTGTGCGAAAGCACAGTGGAACATGCAATAGACTCCAATCGCCTGAAAGTCAGACGGTCCCTTAGTTAGGACAAGTCAATTCATTCGTGAGACAGATGAAACAATGTTTGTTTGGTTTTGGGTTTTCTCAATGAAGTGGTCAGACGCAGTCGAGATCAACTCACGTGAGACAATGAGGATCTCAAGACAGTGACGACCAAAACAATAGAAACAGGCGAGATGACAAGTGTAGGAACAATGGTTCCTTTCAAGGACATGTGACGGAGGAATGACAATCCAATCCTCAATGGACGCACACAATGACGGACTCTCCGACAATTCACAGTCTGAAGACAAATGAGAAATGCTCAGAAATACAATGAATCGAACAAAGCAAATAGCAATAATCAATCGGTACGGTTCTTCGTCAATCCTGAAAGAATCGGAACATGTAGCCACAATCTGTCTACAGTGTGTCAATGTGTCCTTGAATAGGACACTTCTCAGAGACGCGCAGAAATGAATCTCTGGAGGTACCTTAGTCAATCCAAGAGGTTCTTCGGTCAATCCAGACGATTCCTCAGTCAATCGAGAATAGAAAAGATGACGTCGAATCCTGCCACAATACTCGGACGAATCTGAGATGCCAAAGGCGTGGCAATGAATCAGATGACCTGCTCCAATCTGTGACATCCAATTCGTGTGTTCCATGTTACAATCGTCAATGTGATAAAGAGACACGAACGCAAAGGAGAAACAATAATCAAGGCAATCAACAGAAACGGTGGTGCAATCAAACAAACAAAAGTGATCAAGATCAGCAATAGTAGGTTGAGAATGTAACAAAACAAACGGACTTTTGCGCACACACTTGAGCCTTGATTCGCACACTGTCTTTGGTAAGCTTTGCACAAGCAAAACACTACGTGGAAAAGGTGGTTCCGGTTTCGGTAAAAGTTTGAAACCCCCCTTGAACAGCGCACCTCCAAAGTGGGCTGTTCACACTCAAACTGGACAAAGAAAGTGCTTCTGCAGACGTTTCGTCTACCGCCCTTCGGGCACTGAAGTACACTTCGGTTACACTGTACATGCCACTGCTTTAAACACTGGTGATGGGCCTCTTCTTGCGGAGGAAAACTTTTGTTCTAGTCCCATGCACCATCTACAGGATTATGCAACAGCGTATGTGTGAGCATGCCATCTTCGGGGCCTTTCTTGATCAACACTAGAAGCTCACAACTTGATACAAAGCATGGCGTTCGCTTACCTCAGGTTCTATACAAACTACAAGCACAGTAGCGATTGCTGTATCGGACACTACAGCCTTACATCGCCAACGGAGAAAACTCAACACTTACAGGCTGAGTAACCAAAAGCGTGGCTCACTGCCCAGTCTCAGCGCTTCACGGTCGGCACTGCTTACAAGGACGAAGTTCTTTTCGCTGGGCTTCGGCCCAACTGATTTGCGAAACGTTCTCAGGTAGATCAGCAAGCCAACGCTGAACCATACCGCAACTCCTCTTGTGGAACCCTTTCTTACGCTTAGCCTCACCAACGATGTACACCATGTCTGCGTGCGGCTCGTGCGGCATCTGATCTTGCTCTTGGTTCTCTACGTCAAAGTTTTGGGGTTCACCTCCACGATCATTGCGAACGTAACCCTGAATCTCTCCCTGAGCCGCCTCATCTACTTCACCATCGTCACCCTCATGCACATAGCTCTGGACATAAGCTTCTGCGGCACCTCCTTCATCATCATCACTTCGCGGAAACACTTCATCCCAAGTATCAAAGAGGTTTTCATGGATGGAGTCGTCGTAAGTCATGCAACCATCCCGCGGTTCAAGAGGTTGTTGTTGTGTTGAGCCGCGCCCTCGATCTCGACTCCACCGTCGCGGGGGCATGTAGATCACTACCACAAGCACACACAAGGCAATCAGCAGCGCCGCCAAACCACTGTGATCACAAAGTCGTTGAAGGAAGTTCGCTGCACCATCATCCGTATCATCTGCTACGATCTCTGTGGCCCCAACGGAAGCCATCAAGACAAACAGCATCAACCACATGGTCAAGGTTCCACCTTCTTCGATAAAGGCAGACGCTACACTCCACGCTCCAATCAAGCCCAACACGATCATGACGACAACAATGATGGGAACATGCACGCTCCTAAAGTCGCGCTCCTGGTCAAAGCTAAGGGCTTCACCGCCTTCAAGGATAACGGCCAATGCCCTCATCACTGCCGCGATGCTGGAACCCTGAACTGTAGTCGCTCTTGCCCTCACACGCTGAACCCGAACAGGACCTGCATCATCATCTTCATCCAAGCTCATGCCGATCAAGCTCATCAAATACTTTAGCCTGTTCCTACCGTGGGATTTGGTTTGAAGATCAGCTGGAGCGTCCCTTGTAGAAATGGGCTTGGTTACGAACACTCCATCATGATGAGATCGCTGAATCCACAGCCAAGCCAAACTAACATGTCGCGTTCTCTGCAGGCCTTGCTTCTGAATGATTGACCGAGCCGCTGAGTTGTCCACGTAGTGGACAAGTTTCACACGAGAATTCGGACCACATATGAAACGCACCATCTCGGCCACAAACATAGCCTCTGTTACGCCAAGGAGCGATGCCATGAGCTCGCTCTCCGCCGACGACAGGCTGATGGTTTTCTGTACCTTGTTTCCGCAATGACATACATTGCCATTGATCAGGATCACATATGCCGAGATTGAGCGTCTCTCCGGGAAGACTTTACTACCCCAGTCAGCGTCGGTCACGACCTCCACTATGTGGTCTAGCCCAAACGGGTACTTCTTGGGGTCCCAATCTTCAGGTTCACAATCTCGACCTTCCCACTTTTGAAACACCGTGCGTCCGGGATTGCATCGCTCCATCTTCACTGGAACTACAGGGTGCAACTTCACATACTTTACCAAGTGCCTCAGCAAGTTGAAATCGGTTTGCGTGGGATCACTGCACCGAGACGAAAGGACCTTCACTCCATACTGCAAGTCTGGGCGTTCACTACTCATGTAAAGGAGCAAACCTATGCACTTGCGGTAGAGAGCATGCATTTCAGCATCCAAACGTTCACCCACACCAGGCTCTGGGACTTGTTGGGGCATCGGAGTCCTCTTCACATTCGCCTTCTCTAACTCCAAGAGGCCTACCAACCGCTCTGCATACTTCACATCCTGGGTGATGACGAGGCCCTTTTCAATGGATTCAAACTTGCGCTTAAGGAAGTGCGAGGTCCCCCCGTTCACATCAACCGGCCCATCAATCTTCACCTTCAGCCCTTTGTCTTTCAACCTTTTCGCCAAAGCCATGGGCGCACCTTTAACACCAAGGATCTGCATGTCATCAACATGGCTGTTCAAAGCAACTTCTTGCGGAATTGCAAACACTGCAGGGTTTCCTTTGAACGTATCCATACCCCCCTCAGTCAAAGTCCCCGCCAAGTGATCATACCAATCTCGAGAACCGGTGCATTGACCCGGAAGGGTGTACAATAGTTCGAGGTCTCCAATGGGGGTCTGGATGTATGTAGGACGTCTCTGCTCCACTTGCAGGTAAGCATCAGTGACATCGATTGACACCAATTCCAGCTGCTGGCCCGACGCAAACAGGCATCCAAGCAACTTGTGACTGCAAGCGACAGATGCAGGGCTATAAAGATCAGCTAGGGTTGGCCCCAGGAATCTGTATTCTTTTGCTACAAGCCGTGCTCGACGAACCCAGCCATTCCTAAAGCGCCAATCCAAAACGTACTTGCACTGCAACTTGACCTTCCCCTCGCGCTCTTCAGGAATCATTGCTTTCAAGACACCCATGCCAAGGAGACGGTCGATCTCCTTCTTCTGCATCTGCTCGTCCAACTCTCCAAGCTCCTCGGGACTCAATTCTGGGGGCCCGAGGTCATAGGCTCTACCACTCCACGGCATTCCTTCATCACCACGAGAATCGCTAGCACTTTGTTCTGGGAGGTCTTCCGTGGGCTCGCACAAGTACTCATCTTCAATCGGCATGTTCCCTAGCTCTTCGTCCGGATCACAATCTACTGCATCCTCTTCGTGACCATGAGGCTGCTGAGGATCAAGAACCCGTAGCACAAACGACTGGCTCTCTGCGCTCTCATCTCTGGCCACTTGGTCTACTTGCATCGCTGCCGGAATCAACTCTGAAGACCCTGAGCTGGATCCCTGACCTTGCATACCATCCAAAAGGCTTGACTCTGCCGACTGCGAAGCTTGAGGAGTAGTTGGGGGATCACTAGCAGCCACTTCCATAGGAGAAGGAGCTTCACCGACAGCAGGAGGAGCTAGCAACGGCACGCGTCCTAGCCCACCTTTCTTTGTCCTGGCAGCCACCACATCCAACGTAGGATTCCAGGGGACGCCCTTCATGGCCACGATCATCTCCGCTTGGTAAACCTGGGCTGCTCTTCGGATGGTTCGGGCATAGTGCACACCACTCGCATTGGCCACGATGTTCAGGTCGCCTATTGACGACTTGCCCAGGTAAACTGCTTTCTCCCAAACCACCCCTTTGACTTTCTTCTTGGGCACAAACTGGCAGAAAACGGTTGACCCAAAAGCGCAAATCTTTGAGTCGTACTTTCGCCCGTGCACAATTTCAAAAGATGTGCACCCTTCAGCATGAACTTTGTACCGCGTTAGGAAAGCCGCATGCCGAAAACACCAAGAGTACAACGGGTGTGAGGAACGAACAGCTTGCTGAGTATTCGCAGTCACTGTATGTAGCAACGTCAGCCCTAAGCGCCGAATCAGGTCAACATACCGTTCTGCCCGGACTCCCTGGTGCTCGGTCGAGTCAGGCACTGCCTCCTCAACTTCAGTCTTGAAGCCTAACCTCGTGCGAGCAAGAGCAATCAGCTGACACATCTTCTTCATCGCCGGTTCACTGTCTGCTCGCAGCACCAACTCAGCATACCCCAACGCCGAAGTCATTTTCACTACCTCTTCTACTGCATGTTTCGCGGCATCCGGTGACTTCGACTCAAGAGGAACACAGATCACATACTTGGTCGCATGGCACACAGCAACCAGCTGCGTAGTCAAAGGGTGTTCTTCATGAGTCACCAGTCCTATTGAACATGAAATCCATGGACACCACGTTGACCTGACGTTTGGGCTCGGCAACAGGATGATCATCTTCCTTGGAACGTGCTGCCTGGCAACTCTCGCACCAGTCCATTCGAGGAATATGGGTTAGTTCATGGAGCATCACTGTCTGAGCATCGGGTTTCACTGGCAGGGGCCCTTGGCGTACATCCGGTGTGTATGCTTCAATCACTGCATCGCTCGCCTTCACTGCCACTTTCAACTGACTCATGGCAACCTCCTTCTTCAGGCGATCCCACAACACGGCTTTCTTCCCGGACTGAGGAATTTGAAGAAACTTGCATGCCCATCTAAGGTCTTTCAAGGTAGAGGCTTCGCGGAACGTTTTGTCACCAACATGCACAACTTCTCCAACATCCGGAACCTCACGCAACTCTGGACCCAAAACCGGCTCTCTCTGTTCCTGCTGAGGTTCAGCCACCGCCACACCAGGAACTGCTTCGCCAGATGGTCCAGCTTCATCGGGAACTTGTCGAGGTCGAGGAAACCTGGGAACAGCAGCAACTTCTTCAGCAACTACCTTCCCTAGCGAGTCGGGGTCGACCGGGAGTGCGGTGAGGATGGTGATCACTCGGCTGGGGCTGTCTCCGATCACTTTCACAGGCTCTGGCTCCCAACAATCACCACACTCAAATATGGAATATCTGCGCCCGCTCTTCTGCACTAAAGTGGTACGATGTGGCAAAACGTCTGGATCATACAAACCACTGGGATCAACAGTAGTCCTGGCACTCTCGCTCACATGGGTTGACTGGCCGTCTTCATTCAATTGCCAGCCCTGGCGCTTCAAAGTAGCCAGGAAAGACTCACCCAGCTCAACGACCACTCTAACCTGTGCTTCTTCCGTCCTGAATATTTTCATTGTAGCAACCAAAGAATTCCTGGCCCAATGCACCGGGAAGGCTTGAGAGCCTTTCTTCATCACTAGCTGCTCGGCTTCAGGACGTGGTAACCATCCATCTTTGAACATCTTTCCAGCACACAAGAGTGGTTGCTTGACTCGTGCCAGCACTGCTCTATCCCGGAACACAATCTCTTGGCCGTCGCAACCCTCAACCACAAAAGTGACTCCCTCTCGAACTGCAGCTTGCGGGATGCGCGAGCCTTGTGCATCCACCAAGGCGACGTTCGCCTTGCTCTCGCAGCCAACTTCGCCGAAGATGCGCATCGGCAACACCGTCACATCGGCACCTGAGTCGAGGATCACTTCATGGCCCTCTGCTATCGCCCGAACACATAGCTCGGCTTCTTCAGCTTCACGCGCTTGCTGCAACACCGTCCACGAACTCTCACTCCCACTCTCTGCGTAACACTCCGCATCACAATCATCTTCCGAGCACAGCGAGAAATGCAGAGTGGAAGTAGAAGGCAATGAGCAACTGCTACCGCACTCCGACTGACTGTCATCTAGCATGTCATGCTCTGCAGGCTCCACAATCTCAGCAACCATCCGGACGTAGTCACTCAAACCCTCTGCTTCATACCAGTCGTCACCCCAAAACTCTTCAGCGTCCCAAACTTCTTCTGCATCCCTCGACAAATCATGAACATGGCTTTCCCAGAGTTGCTCGCCAACCTCACCGGCCTCATCGTCATCGAAGATCTCCTCGATCGCCACGTTGTTGATGAGCTCCAGACGACGAACCTGAGATGGCGGGGAAATTCGGGAACTACTCGAGGTAGACTGCGTAGTGGTAGTAGGGGCAGAGGTCGCACGTGTACTCACCGACATGTTGTCATCTTCTGCAACTACTTGTTGAACACGCGCTCGCAAAGGACACTCTGCAGCTCGATGACCCATGCGATCACAAAGAAAGCAAGGACCTTTACCTTTACCACCTGCTCCACTGTAGCTCTTCCCGCTCGACTTCTTGCCTTTGTCCTTTCCCTTTGCACCAAAAGCCTTGCCCTTGGCATAGCCGTAGCCCTTGTACCCCTTGGAAGCATCAAAACTTTTGTGACCGCCATAGCCCTTTGCAGACTTGCCCTTCTTGCCTTTGCCCTTTCCGAACTCACCCTTAGCGTTCTTGCCCTTCCAAGCTCCCTTGCCCTTCTCGCCCTTCTCGGCGACGCGATCCACGTCCATGGGCGCTGGCCCATTTCCTTGATACAACGAGGAATCTTTATCCACACCATTGAGGTCTTCTGGGTAAGTAGAAGGAGATAGTTTCTCGTACTCGGTGATGAGCCGTTCGTAAGCCAACGTGTACTCAAGGACAGAGGCCCCCTCCTGCAAAGGAGGAAACCTAGTGAGAGCTTGGGCAAGAGCTAGCACACGAGGTCGCGAAGTGGGCTGTAACTCTTCTTTAAGCTGACGCCAAACTCGAAAACCATCACCTTTCGGATCTGCGCGAAGGATCTTTAGAGCTCGCCCTTTGAGGTATGATGCCAAAATCGAATACAATCTGAGCGATCGTGCTTTGAGTGCTGGGCCATAATCTTCGAAAGCTAGAAATTCTGTGGCACTCTCCGCTTTGGCAAAATCAGACCGATAACCGTCATCCTGGACTGCCATGAAATTCTTGAAGGCAAAGGCCCATTCGGGCCATGCTGCAATCTCCTCTTCAACAGACTTTGGATTGAAAACTTCCGGTGATTTCACATACTTGGTTTCGCGCCATTCTTGCTGACCGCCCGAAGCTGCTGAAGCTTGAGCCGTGCTAGCAACAGCTAGCTGAGCTAAGGCCTCAGAGAGCCTTGCCAACACAACATTCTGATCCAAAGTACCTTGCGGCACTTGCTGAGCCGCTCCCTGTGGTGAAGCAGCTCCACCTGGGCTTTGTCCTCCCACATCACCAGGATGCGGGGGAGCTGGAGTTCCATCTGGTGGGGCACTCATCTCGAAGGGCTCAAGGCTCAAGAGACTTCACTCCACGCTCGCCGCCACACAGCAGCGGTTGTAAAAGAGACTCAAGTTCTGGCCGCCAGTAGCCGGCACACAAGCCGCGGAGACGCCGCGGTCGAGGACTATGTTTTCACAACCCTCACACACTTCTACGTTTGCTCGCAGGGGCTCACAGGCACAAGCGAGACTTTGGGCTCTACACTACACACACTGAATGCTAAGAGAGGTTTCTGTATGCGAAGGACCACCTGATGCCCAGGTCTTGGGCGACCATGCACCAGCAACTTTGAACACGTATCTTCATGTGCAGTAAGGTCGAAGCTGAACGGCTCAAAGTATGCCACCTAGACCTGCGACCTGACTAAACCCCAACACGGCCTGAACCGACAAGACCAGAACTGTGAACTGCAGATGCAAGCTCAAGCGCTGACTCACAAGCACTGTTGCGCAACCACAAGTGTTCGGATGGGGTTCTTGGCTTAGCCCCAGGCCATCCACGCCAAAAGAATGTAGCATGTATCCAGTACGACGATGAACCATATACAGCGAAGACCAGGATGTCACAAGCGTTGCAGGTACAGGGGACTGGCCAAGTCCCCCTTCCCATCCACAACCGTAGCTTCGTTGCACACGGTGGGTTGTGGATGCCGTGTGCCCCTGCTGTGTACTCTGCACTCAAGTTCGGTTATATGTAAATCGTAAGTAGGAAATGGCTGCAGAGCGTGAGGAGAAGGCCCTTGGATACACGGTTGTCACACACACACCCCGCCGTAGCGGGGTGAATTAATCAGACGAAGACGGTGAGCATGTAGAGCAGGTAGAGCCGTCGAGTGAACTTGCAGGATCTGGCAGCGGTGCAAGGAAAGTCGGTGGAGAACGTCTCGGAGAGGAGTTGGCAATTCGTGCCTTTGAAAGTGACGTCGATCAACATGACGAGCGTAGACTCTAGGTGCCAGTAGACCAAGGCAAAGTTGCCAACGATGACGAAGTATCAGTTGGCTCATTATGTAATGTAGTCGACGATCAGCGAGAAGTAATGCGTGAAGTACGCTTGGAGATGGTGCGGTTGTGAACATGCTGTACTGGTAACCGCAGATGTTCGGGTCATAGTAATCCAGTCGTTGGAAGGAAGGATTGAGTTGACAAAGTCCATGGAGGGTGTCGAGGTAGTAGCGGTTCTGAGAGGTCGTGAATCGGTGCTGTGATATGACAAAGCGTGGATCAAGGAGGGTACTGGGGATCTGGAGATCGGGGGAGGTCATCGGACGAACTTGCCATACTCGGAGCTCCACCAAGTAGTCAAGCCACCATTCCAAAGGAATATCGAGTAGGTGCGGGGCCATGAGTGTACGGGCGACGAAAGGAAGGAAAGGAGAGGCCGAGGACTAACCAAATAGTGCTGAAAAGGCTGCGGTAGATCAAATGGACCACGGTCAAGATGCACAAGTGAGGGTCTTTGTCTCAAAAATTTTCGTCAGTGTCCTCCGAAGCTTCACCGTCTCAGAGCTGGGAGAAGACCATGTCGTTGTTGTTCCTGTTGCCAATAAGGATTGTCCGTAGTGATGGGTGGAGGAGGTGAGCGGCGGCGAGAAATCGTAGGTGTCCATTTGGAAAAGGAAAGGCAATGCGCTGAACACCAGCATGTGGTAATCCAGGGTCCGGACGAAGTAGGTCGCCACTGTGCTAGGGTAGGATCTCGAATACGAACACGTAGGCAAAGTCGTGATGCAGAGCGTAGCTGGACGTGGGCTCGCCAACACAGTCGATTGCAGTATACGATGACCGAGGGCTGATAATGATAGATCGTGAACACCGTGTTGTCGTGGTGGAAGCCAAAGAAGTTGTGGGCGCTCATCTTGTGATCGTGAAGGGCGGCGAGGAACTGTTGCCAAACGCCATATTGATGCCAGGAACAATCACCGTGATGTGCGGTCAAGATGGAGAAGGCGGAGCGGGTGGTGTGGCGGTCATCAGTGTGTGGACGTTGGCAATGACGGGGATCCAATTGTATCATAGTCTGCATCTCGAAATAGGAGAGGATCATGGGGAGGATGTCAGTGAAGGAAGCCATTCGTGGGTGAGGAAGGGAAACAACTGTGTTTGTACAGAAAAGCTGCGGTAAAAAGGCTGCGGGTGTGGGACGGACGAAACGGAGATGTCAGGGCATGTTTTCCAGAGCGGGATCTCGTTGGAATCAGGTACTCAGAAGTTCGCGGACGGACCGTCGTCTGCGAGCGGTGCAATCCCGGTAGATGAGTGCCAAAGGAATGAGTTGGTCTTCGGGTAGGTCATAGCGACGTCGTATCCGTAAATTGTCCGAAGCTGCAGTGGGTCCTCCTCGTTCATGTGCTATGATGTCCAACATAATGCGGGCGCGATGTCTAATGCAGTTCTGCACGTCCTGATAGTACGGGGAGGCAGGAGTGCATTGGCGCCATTGTCGGAGCCACTGTTGTCGGCGACGTTCTGCGGCATCTCCATGGAATGAAACGGTGGAATGTGTAGTGCCCGACTTGCTGCGGCGTACTTGATGTAATGTATAACCATTTCCTCGGGGAGGAATTCGGATACGAGGGGGAGCGTCCACTGTTGCTGAGGGAGGATTCGTCGTGGCTAGTGTAGATCCTGTCGCTGGAGTGGTAGTGCTGGTCCCGGAAGGTGTCTTCCGTGGACGTTTCTTCGAACGGGACGAGGAGGTAGGTGGGTCCACTGTTTGTAGTTCCGTAGTGGGGCACAAAGAAGAGGATGAAGACGATGAAGATGTCGACGATGATGTTGACGTGGCCTTGGAAGGTCGAGACGATGTGGAAGAAGAGGAGGTAGTATGGTGGCGATGTCGTCGACGGCGTTTGCTGGGTCGTTTTCCTGGGAGAGGAGAGGGAGAAAGTGGAAGGGTGCGATGAGGCGTGGGGTCCCCGTCAACATCTGAACCTGTGGGAGGTAGACCAGCATCATGTGCGGAGGAGGCGTCCAGGTCTGAGTCCATGTCCGGGTCTGGTGTCCAGGTGACGTCGTCCAAGAGATAGGAATCGGGGGAAGAACCGGCCATGACTAGGGGCTCTGGTGGTAACTTGACCTAAAATGCCTGCGAATAAATCAACGAAAGGAAGGGGCGCAGGTTCAATAAACGCATGGGAGCAAGTTTTCCGGGGGTTCACTGACCTGTCGCCAACGTAGTCCAAAACGACGAAGTACGGACCGGGATGCGTCTTCCAGTGAGCGTTCAGAGAAACCTCGTTCACGATATAGATGAACAAGTTCACGAACTTGAGGTGCAATGACGGCTTTGGGCCAGGATAATCTGCAAATGAGATAAATCCGCGTGGTAAGTCCCTGAGTGTTCCTGCGTGTCGAAGAGACTGAACACGGAGAGCGCAAAGAGATACTGTTCCGTGGGAGGACAAGTCGGATGGAACGTTGTGCGGTGTCCACGACGGTGCCCAACAGTTCTTGTCCCGGAACGTGTTCCAATTCCAAGGGAAGGCCATAGAAATGTGGATGTAGGTATACCTCTTGAAACCAACCATACGATGACGTAGAGGATGAAGAGAGAGGATCGTGGCCTCGGCGGGAGTGGTGTCGTTGGCAGTCGTCCAGGGATTCCAGTTCCCCATCCCAAATCCGAAGGAGGCAACGATTGTCCACATAGCGTGAAGAACAGAAATAACGAGAGGTCAGCATCTGATCGCGAATGAGTTGGTGGAATGTGGCTTCCCACAGGGCTGCGGTCGCTCCGCACATTGAGGGGGCCACGGGTGAGCCCATAGAGGCCCCGCGATGTTGTACCAAAATCTCCGTGCCAACTGTGAAAAAGGAGTGACGTAGCAAGAACATAACCAATGAAGGTAAGTCACGAAGGCATAGAGGTTTGTAATGTGAACCGGCTTTTCGATATCGGCCTCGAAATAGGCGACCAAGTGAATTGCGGTCCCGCATCGTGATCTGTATGTCAGAGTCCAAGGGAATCTGTTGGTGGCGAGCGAACATGTCTGTCAACGACGAGATCGAGTGGTAAATGCGATCATGTGGAACCGAAGTGAAGAAACCAGAAAGATCTTGTTGAAGTAGCTGAAGTTCCACCGTGACCGGGTTGTTGCGGAAGGCATGGATGAACGTCTGGATGATGGAGTGGACGGTAGGGGAAACGAACTGAGGTGGAACAACCGTCTGTAGCATCTGTAGGACGGCGGTGGAAAGAAATTTCGCGAGTGTGGCACACCACGTGTTGGAGTAGCTGACAATCGGGCGACCCTTCAAGAATTGTTTGGAGGGCTTGGGGAGCACGTAGGCGTACGGCAAAGATTCTTTGGGTGCCAGGGCCCAGTGATAGCGTGTAGGAACGTGTCGTTTGATGGCTCGTTGTATATGTTCCGATAGCTGCATCGGGTTGGTGTCTCGTCGCCAGAAAACTGCAGGATCCAGAAAGGTCTTGGTCAAGATGTCGAAGTATTGTTGAGGACAGAATGCATAAGCCAAATGCGGTCCATGATCAATGGGGGAGATCACGATGTGCTCTGAGCTTTCCCGTAAGTTCTTGAGTTCGCGTAACTGTCTGCCGTCAGGTCGCATCCGTAGAGTTTGGCTGTGTAGTTGCCATTGGTGTGAGACAAAGACTTGCCAGCGAAGTAAGGATTGGTCAGGTTGTCGCCATAGCTTGAACCATCGGTTCAAAGGGGCCACTGTAAACCTGCGAAATTGAGATTTGGTCAACCATCGGCCGTCGCTCATGTTCTCCCGATAGATGGATACGTTCAGAACGACATCGGCCGGAGCTGCTACATGATCCGAGGGTGTGCGTTGTCCTGGCAGTTGTTGACAACAGCAAAGGAAGGGTTTCTCTGGGTCCCACTGTCGTAGCCATGCGTGGTGGTTGAACAAGGTTTGACCAAGCGTAGGGGCCTTTCTCTCGGTAATGGTGTATCGTGGTAGGTGGTAAGGCGGGAACCATTCTCGGTGATGAAGTATATAGCTGTCCAACCAATGTTGAGCTTGTC